CACTTTCTTCTACTCATATTGACCCTCTTAAAAAACAGAAACTCCTTTCCTGAGCCTCCAACCCAGCATTTTTACATTGGCTGCACACAGTCACCTGGAAAGCTTTAAAAACATACAGGTGTCAAGACTCCACATCAAACCAATGAAACCAGCACTGCTGGGTGTGGGAGGCTGGCATGGGTATTTTAAACAGCTGCTCTGTGATTCTAATAAACGTCCAGGGCTGAGACACACTGCAACTCTTTCCCATCTAGGCAGCTATCTCCTAAATTCTGGAATATAATCCCCGAAACTTCATTCCCTACCCTTGGGCGGGGACCACTTTAAAAGAGGCAGACTAACAGCGCTAGTCAGAGAATCCAAGCCTCATCCTTCCAAACACACCAAGCTGCCAAGAGTAGAGGTGAGAAAGTTCTGCTCACTTGGCATTTCCATCTCTCTAACATAGGCAAATGCCTACATTATAAGTACAACTTTTGTCAAAAAAAATATAGTAAACACATAAGTGAATACATATATATACCCTTATCTTACATCTCTGGGAATGAATGACCCCACAGAGGAAATAGTCCGTCTGGAACGCCATTTCCTCTTCCCCAGGGCTGACATCTGGTGGGGGCTTCCAGAATGCCATATCCCAGCATTTCTTGGAGACACAAAAAGGACTTCGTGTCTGAGTCTGATATGGAGACTGGAAATCTCTTCTTGTCCCGTATCCCTTCACCCCAACCCAGAGAGATGCAGAGTGAGGAAGTGCTTGCCCTTAGAGCACAAAGGCAGAGGAAACCAGTCACTGCTGAGGAAGCTGACCCCTCATCACCGCCTTTTGCATTATTCCACCTTCCCTAGGTGGGTGCCCCTGTTTCCCTCAGCTGCTCTCCTGAGGCAGTAGTTGAGTACTGGGTTTGAATCCTAGTTCACCACTTACTTCACCTCTCAGCCCCTCAGTCTCGTCATCCAGAAAAGGGGGATAAGAATATTATCCAATTTATCTCGTTATTGTGAGGGTGTAATGAAAAAGGCGTGGAAAGCCCCTAACATCTGGGACAAAGCTATGTAGTAATAATGCCAATAATAACAATACTTTAATTAAATTATTTTGGAGAATTTTTATGATTATTCACAAATGAGTAATCTTGGCTCACTGGCAGTGAATCAAAGATGAGAATAGGTGTGTCTGATTTTTCACATCCACACCAGGTTCTCACTAGACATTAGACAGTAGGTCTCAGACACATCCAGGGCCTTACTCGGGTTGGCCCAGTAAAAGTGTGTGTCCCAGGTGTCACCTGGGGCTGTCCTGCTCCTTCATTTCACCAGTGGCAGCCCAGGGGTCTCGTGAGAGGTGGTCCTGGAGAGGCCGCTCTCTGGGAGGGATCCCTAAGTCTTCCTTTTGCAGATGAGGAAGCTGAGATGGGAAGTGACTTGGCCTCTGCTGTGCCTGGTGGGTGTCAGAACCAGAACTAAGGTCCAGGTTCCTGATGTCCAGTCCAGTAACCTTTCCTTTCCACTTGAGAATGTCTAACTCCAGATCTGGAGCCTTCAGTAACTACCCCCTTCCCCCCACCCTCACCCCCAACACACATGCAAAGGTCTCTCCCTGAAAGCTGGGGGAGGGGGGAAGGCCAGCTCTGGAGCAGTAGTTTTCCATCTTAGATGACTGGTCCCGCCTAAATCGACATGCTGAGAAGAAAGGAGGAAGAAGGGTGGCAGTGTCGTGAAGCAAGTGCTCTGGGGTCTAAAGGGACTCAGGTCCGAATGCTGGTCTCTGGGCCTTAGGTTTCCCTTCTGTGAAATGGGCATAGTAATAGTACCTAGCTCACTGAGTGCTCTGCGGAGTCTCTGGGAATAGGATATACATAAACTATCTCCAGGAAGAACCAAAGGAAACTGGTTACCCCTGGAGGGGCTGCTGATGGGTAGTGGGGAGGGAGACTTGTGTTTCACTCTTTTGAATTCCTGCACATGATTTGCCCACTCAAAAAATAAGTGTTTTATGAGTGAGGTTTGGGTTTTTTTAGGACAGTACCTGGTACTCAAAATATTGGTTATTTTTATAAAGATGATTTGATACAGTCCTCCCATTCAACCTCAAATCATCTCTGTTCCCCTAGCTTTGAGTCAAAGCAAAGGCTTCAAACCCAAGAGGCAGGTGGTAAACATGTGGGCTTTAGTGCAGCCTAAAGAGACCTTAGGTGGGTCCCTGTGTCCTCCATGTACTAGCTGCGTGGCCTCAGGCAAGTTGCTGTGCCTCTGTTTCCTCAGTTATAAAAGGAGGTTAGTGGTCTCTACCCCACTGGTCATCACCAGGATTTAATGAGGTCAGAGCTGAAACCGAGTGAGTGAGCCCTGAGCAGGGCAGACCTTGCTTGGAACACTCTATACATACAGCTCATCGCATCTGCAGCTGCCACGTTCATCCCCGTTTCACAGACAAGCAATCGGAGGCTCGGGCTGGGGCCATAACTTGTCCACTGCCACTAAGCTGGTAACTGGTGAAGCCAGGATGAGTCTGGCTCTGGAGGCGGTGTCCCTAACCACTGCGCATCCCTGCCTCTCCCGGACACATTCTGTATTTCGAACACCTGGCACGTGGGAACTGCTCTATGGGTTATGGCTGTGACTGTCGTTATAAAATGTTAAAACCTTTCCCAGGCCACTCAGTAAAACATTTGGGTGCAGGGCTTTCTGACAACTCACAAACACCTTTTGGGGGCAACATTTAGTCAAAGAAGTATGTGTTGCTCTAAGAGTGGAGAGATTCTTGCCCTGGTTCTCCCATAGCCACAATTTCCACAGCCAGTCTTCCCAGTCCCAGGACAATCAACTATTCCATACACTTGGCTCCTCCGTGCTGGTTCTGCTGGCTTCAGACACCACCCTGGAGACATTCTGCAGATGATTTTTAAAAGCCTAGAGTCTGCCAGCCAGACATCTGTAGCAATGCAGTTACAGCCAAGGTCGAGCCTTCCCCAAATCCTTCAGACACTCTCGTCCACCACCACTGCCGCCACCACAACAGCCAAACAGATTTTAGGACAACTCATTGCAAGAGACAAGCTGTTTCCTCCTACTGGTCAATAGTGTAAATGTAGGGCCGACCAAGAGGGGAAATCTTTCAGCCTCCCCCGCCCCAGCTGTTTGTAATGGCCAACTCTGTGCTGATGAAGGCCAGGCAGGGGTTACCATCACGCAGCAACTGGATTGGGCCTTGGCATAAACACACACACACACACACACACACACACACACACACGC